CTGAGAATTTCTTGTCAAACTATGTTAAGTAAATAAAGGAGAGGTGAAATATCAGCAACAAAGCTAACAAATGGAGCTGAATGCTCCACTTGAAAGAGCAGATCTAGCTGTTTACCATGCTAATCTGAAATGAAATGAAAATGTATGTTTTTCATCTTTTCAGACAGCGATCTTCAAATACAGGTAGCTAAGGTTTTTAACTATACAGGCTATTTTTTTATTAGAAAAAACTATGTGAAGGTATTTTTGTGTGTGTGTGGCTGGAACAGTATAGTCAGTAGACAAATTGAAATATCCATTATCTAGTGACCTGTGCCCAGATGTCATCTGAGCCTTTGCTTTGGTATTTAGCTAGCTAGCTGTGTGTACATCCAATTAGCTAGCATCAGGCAAGGTCTTTTTTTAACTTGCAGGGGCTGGAGGTGGGTGTGCAAAAGAAAAGTAGTTAAAAAAAATCCGCCGTTCCTTTCTGTTAACTTGCCTACGGGTTGAAATCCCTTGTCACCATAGGGGAAGGGGAGTGCCCCAAACGCAGTAGCAATTGCTACTTTTATGTCTCAGACAGTCATGCACTGTAGTGTTTGTAACCACTGCCAGCACCTCACCGATTTTGGGCGCATGTGCTCTAGACATTAGGCCGCGGGAATGACAGGGCATCTAATACCTTTTAGGTTCACACAATAAATCTTCTCATGCGCAAGGGTCATAGATTAAAAGCACCTTTCTTCTTTGGCGGAGATAAAGTGAAGGACGTGGTGTAGCTAGAACTTAAGTTAGTTGAATTCAGAGTAACCCAAGACCAGCACCATTACATCATACTGAGAGACAAACCCAATTATACCTCTAATCAAGAACAGGTAAGCCGCTCGCCCAAACTCAGCAGTGTGCTCTCTCCAGAGAAGTCCTGGGACTGGCCTTTCTTATCTATAACATAATGGGATGTTGACTCCCGACCCCATTCGAGGCAATGGCAAAAGCCCCATTGACTTCAGCGAGGCCAGAATTCAGTTCATGGTTGGACACACCTTCCCCACCTCTCTCTCTCTCTCTTTCACCTATCCAAAGGGGAAAACAAAAGATCATTTGGGCCCAGTCCCGTGGCTTCCGCTGATTTTAATGACTCGGTGTCCCCGAAAGGTTTTTTTGCCCGACGAGTACAGGCTATTTATTGCTGTATCATCCAAAACACTCGGTGTCATTATGCTAGCTCCAGTCTTGTGGCATCTGCATTGATACACACATTTCTCTATTCATTTGTCAACGCGAACCCATTTAGTGACAAAGAACGCAAATGGATTTTGAAAACGAAATATTTCCATTTCTAATCTGCGATGCTCCAGCCCCTCCCAGTCTCCCTCCAGTTCCTCTCCTCTGCACCACTGCACTAAATAAATTAACAAGTTATCAACAAGACTGCAACACCACTACAGGCTTCCCCCATTACCGAGCCTGTCATTGCCACTCAAGAATCTCGTGGAATGTGACAACTTCACAGCAGAAGGTCACTTCCTCCAGTCACTTTCTCCCCGCTGCTTGGAGGCAACCATTCTGAGAAATGATTTGTTATGGTAGAATAAGAGGCATATTTGTTAGCTAATTCATTCTGGGAAACTCAAATGAGATGAAAAAAACAAGCATAGATCTGACAAATGGCATTTAATTATGTCTGAACCTAAAATTCGTAATACATATTTATGGTGCCCTAAGTCATTCACAGCCAACGTCCCCTTTATTCTCTCAACTCGGTCCAATTGCTGACATGGGATGAGGGCGTTAGTGATGGGTAATTCAGGGCTATTTGATGTTCCTTCATTATGGCATGTTTTCTTTACCCCTTATCTTCACAGCCCCCCCCTGCCCTCAACGTGTGGTATGCTGCAAGCTAGAGAGAGTCTTTTTCCATGAGTGATGGGATAACTTTGTTCTCCCCACTCAAACGCAGCCACCTCTGGGTTGAAACATGGCTGCTGTCTGACCCTGCAGCACAAATGGAAATGGCTTACCAGCCAGCATGTCCCTTGAAGGTATCACAGCCAAGGATCAAGGCATTTTTTTTTTTTGCAAAAATCTTGTTGGTCTAATAAAAGATATCATCTCTACTACGGGTCCTGATTGAAGTTAGTGAGAGACTTTTCCCTGTTTTCAGTGGACTTTAATCTAGGCCTCAATTACTGATTTCATGTAGGTCTGATTCTGCCCAGCTTTGCTTGTTAGATCGGATGGGATCATGAGCCAAGGTGTCACGATTCAGTCGATGCTTTGCCAAGGAATACTCGGGGGATGCACAAACTCAAGAGGAAATTGATCCCATAGCTCAAAATATTACTACTTGCTGCATCAGCCTTTCCCTCTCGCAGGTTTTATGCAAGCCGAGATAGTACTTTTCATGCTTTTTGACACCGCAGCCCTGGCAAGGCACTAGAGACACTACCTTTCCCCTCCTTTCTCTTGGCACGTTGCCATGCAAGCGCACTATGCGGCTTCAGTTTTTGTTCTCTGGTGGGAAATTTCATTTGACCCTTTCAAGTGGGACAAGAACAGATATTAGATTTGTTGACGATGAAGTGCTTTTATCTGAATTCAACAAAAGAGGTACAATGAAAAGATTGCAGCTGCTCAGCTAAAGCACCGTGCCTATTACAGAGTTCATATGCATTTACAAGTGGCATATCAGTGAAGGTTCTCCTCACCCGAGCAGATGTGCACTGCAAACTTGTTAATCTTTCTGTCAGCTCTGCAAGCTTGCCATGCTTTTGGGAAAATGTTGCATTTGACTTCTTTGCTAGAATTTGCAATGATAGAAACACTATTGGTAGGTAAGAGCTACAGCCTGGTGGTGCTTTGTCTGTTTGGTAAGTCTTCTTCCAGGCCTCTTTCTATAGGACCGGATAGCTGTGTCTGGTACCACAGATGACTCACAGTGTACTGAAATGTTGGGAAAACCATTGCCTCGTCAGCACCTGCTATGCTAAATATACATCCATCCACTTACCCAATAAACAGTAGGGTCATATACAGTTAATTTCCCCATTTTCTTTTATATATATATATATATATATATATATAACATTTCATTGATTCTAAAACTTATTGCTCTAAAAATGAAGGTTGCAAGTCCACTCAGACAGGAAGCAAATAATTCAGACTTGGCATATAAGATTAAAAAAGAAAGTACCTATTGTCTGACGTCATACAGCAACTATACCATATAATAAGGGCAATAAAGCATCTAATATCCAGAGAAAACCCTGATGAAATTCAGGAAAGGCTATGACTTGTGGTCAACCAATGGTGCAAAAGTAACAACATGAGCTCTACCAGATTCTGAAGCGCTGGGGACACGTGAGAATGACTGAAAAGAAATCCTGACTTATTTCAGAGCGTGCAAAGGTGGTTCAAAATTTGGGCCAACAATATCAACTAGGAGTAAAGGAAAACTTATGACTTTAGCATTATTTCATATTTGTAGTGCTATAGCTCCCTGAGGACCCGGTCAAGGTTAGGGCCTGCAGAGCAGCTTAATTTGCACCAGCTGGAATTTCCTTGGAGGGACCATCCATGAGTGCAGGCCAACCTGCACTGGCCTCACATCTCCCATGTCTTCGGCCTCAGCTCAGGAAAGCTGGTAGATAAGGGCTACACTTCAAAGGTCCACCTAAACCTACTGTTTGCTGGGCTTGTGTAGCTAAGGCACACAGCTTTTATATCCAACCATTCACAGGGGAACAATGAAGCTGGCCACACTTTCACAACGCGGGAGCAGCGCGGCAGATGCATAGTGGGGACCAGAATGTGGCGTCAGATGTTGTATAACGATCACCATTTTTCCACGTATAACCAGCTTATGAGATTTCACTAGAATTGCTTCTCAAAAATCTGCCCTGCTGAAACAGCATCGACAGCTGAACGTGTTTTACCTGCGCTACAGCCAGGCTGAGACCGTCCCTTCGTGCAAAAGAACACAGCAGCAGAGCGCAGCCGGGAGGATGATGCCAAAACCGATGCCAGTGGAAGTGATGCGACAATGAAAACTCAAAGCCACTGGACTACACAAAGAACGAGCAAGCTCCGCCTCACGCCTAAAAGTCCCTGTAATCTTACAAAAGACCCATAGCCATACAACTGGCTTTGCTCCTTTCCATTCCTTACCATCAATGTTATTTTCATTCCCCATTTCACATCTTCCTTCTAGGACCAACCAAGCGTGTCCCCTTTAAGTCAATAACTAAGCTCTCATCGACTTAAATGGGACTAGCATTTTCCTGGACAATGGTGTGTCTGCCTCTCTCACTGTTTCCCCTCATCACCAGATTCTCAACCTTGTTCACGCTTCTCATCACAAACCTCCCTGGAGGCTACATAGAAATATCCTGTAGACATAATGGGCACAGATCTCTATTGCCATGCACCTTGGGCAGTCCATTCCAGCACTATAAAATGCTGCCAGGTCATTTAACGCCTGTTTTGTACTCAGTTTGCACTGGTAGGAATGACTGCATAAAGCATGGAGGACAATGGAGAGTCAGAGGCCATCCCACTGGGCTAATCCCACTGTAATCAATGGGAAGATTTCCACTGAGTTAAACAGACTTTGGATCTGGCTCGTATTTCCTCGCCGGTGACTTTCTACTTATCACATTGTCACAAAGGGAGTCTTTTCATATTGCTCCTCACCAGGTTTCTTTGCTGCCTTCCAGCTGGCAGATCCGCAGCACAGGACTGGCTCATTGCCAGTTTAACTCAGACCTGTGGCTAGCTAGTAACTCTGATCTTGCACGGCATTTTTGTTGTTGTTGTTTCTCTTTTAACCAGACAGCGGCTGATGGTGCTCAGCGGGCAACACCACGAGTCGTGATTTCATCAGGGTAGCAAACCACTTCCAGCATCAATTCATGTATAATACATTGTACGGACATTGTCTTCCTGTAAGACACCACTAGTCACCCATTGTGCCCAGTCCTACTAGTTTCAGCCCCTCAGATGGTTGGTGTCTTTCCTACCTTGTCAGGTTTCCAGTGTCTGTTAGCAAAACCGGTTCCCACGGCTTAGCGTTCAAGGTTCAGGACCTGTTCGATGTTGTGGATATTTATCGCTGACGAAGGTTGCAAGCTGGCAAAGTCTGTTCTAGACGGTTTGCACTGCTCCCAGTACAAATCGGCATTTACTCTGCAGGGAAAGAAGTAGTAAAACCTTTAGCCAATAAACGGGTAAATGTCATTTCGACAGCGATCGACAGTAAGTCACCGTTTCCTTTCCTATCCCTGTCCCCTCCTCAACCATCTGGGGGGATGATTTTACCTGATAACCTCATTTTCCTTCTCTTTTTCCTGCACTCTTCAGAGACATATCTTCTAAGGGAGACCTGGTGTTTGCAGAAAAATTCAGGCACTGCTAACAAGCAGGACCTACTTCGAGCAATTAGTGATTTTAGGTTCCCTCTGTGTCCCAAGTGGCTCTGGTAGTTTCCTTTCATTCTTTCACATTGTTGGGATTATTTACACAGCTGTTCCTGTAACATTTTTTCTAATGTGATTCTTATTTTTTTAAATGTATGTGTTGTTGGGTTTTTTCCCCCCTCCATTTTGATTTTAGAACAGTATCAGTATATGTGTGGTCCAATTGCTTCCAGCGTAATTTGCTATTGGTAATTAAAAACACAGATTTAGCCATACACACGTTTAAAACAGGCCTGTATTCCTGACGGGTATACACATGAAACTTTTGAGATTAGAACTCAAGCAATCCAAAATTCATCATCAAATTATAATTTCAGGTGTCTAATATTGTATCATTTTCCTCACTAAATATGACCGGCTGATTCTTGAAAATGCATGCATGCATCTTTACAGATTGTGTTTGGGTGTACAACTGCTTGTTGGATTTGTATGCACAATAAATACAAAAACCAGAGACTTACATGTGAAGAGGCCAGCTAGCTGCAAAACCAGCCATTGCTGGCAGGAACGCTCAGTTTGTCTGTGTAGCAACAATACATCTGCATATGAACTATACACCTAATTTTCCACATGTGTTTTGGAAAATGAAAATCTTCATGTGAAAGTAAAGAACTAAATGTTGTGGCAGATATGCCTCTACTGGGGATGTTAGGTTAAATTCACAGTTGGCATAAACAGGAATAAATGCACTGAATTGTGCTTGCTTACATCAATTCATCTGACCCATTTCCTTTAATTAACCATAGAAATGCTAGGTTTGTAGTTTTATCATTTTTATATGTACATTTTGCATTATATTTTATAATCTTCTCCCTTCCATTTAGCCATACACACATTTAAGACAGACCTGTACTTCTGATGGGTATACACATGCAACTTTTGAGATCAGTTCCCTTCCATTTTCCCTTCCTATTCCTAGTATATGAAAAATAATATACTTTTATGCCAAGAATGCCAGGTCCCTACCATTAACATCATGACAAGCTGTTGGGTATTTGTCTTTCTGAAAATCAGGCAAATTAACTGCCTAAACATGGACTTAGGTGTTTGATTTCCAGCACCTATTTCTAAAAACCTGGGCCCTGAAGGATAAAACTCTGATTGTATATGTGTAATATAAATTGCCAGTCACTTTTATTACATGTCTGTTTATATAAAAACCTTAGAACACATTTAAAAAATGTAAACTTTCCTTAGTATGTTTAACACTGTGTCGAAAGAAGACTAATATAGGCATGGGGCAGAAAGAAAACAAAAGTTTGACAAATGTTTCTGATCAATCCTGGAGAAATCAATAGGAATTCACTCAAAGCATGATTTCATTTAACTTTCCATGCTATGAACAGTAACCTGGTTTTCTGTTTAAGCTAAAGGGTTCATACTTCTTGGTGAGTTAATTCTCGTGTCAACATGAGAATGGACAGAGAATAGTTTAGGATGGAGGGACTCGGGAAAGACACAAACTGAAATTTCATAGACTAAGCAATATGGTGGCTTGACCGTTTTTTTTTTCATTTTTTGACAGAAAATTGGAGGTTTTCAATTAAGTTGGTTTTTTTTTTAAGCAAAATAATGCCTGTTTAACGTAGAACATTTGGGAGTTTTGTTTTTTAAAAAACCCAACCCCAGAAAAGTGGCAAAGAAAGAAGAATACTGATTGGGAAATGTGGCTGTGCTGTCTCGTGGGAGCTGTAGTTTATGGGGCCCTGGTCTCCTCTACGGGTCATGTGCCTCTGCCGCACAGTCTCCCAGCCACATTCCCACGATGCGCTGTCCTGGGACACCGCGAGTGTAGATGGCCCCCAGTCTTTGGAGATCAGCGGAGGCTGGACTCATCCAAAGGGCAGCAGTAACAGCATTTCCAAAGCAAAATCCTTTGGTTTATAAGTAAAGTTTTTGGCCAAGATATTTTGGTTTTCCACTGGAATGTGAAAATCTTCTGTGTGGCAGGGACTCTTTTGGTAAGCCACTATGTGGAATTTAATGCTACCCCCCTGGTAGAATAGATCCCAAGCTTGTATGCTGAAATTCAAGTAACTATGCTGATTTAAAGCAAATGAGCCTCTGTGTCTCTGTATTTTGTTTGTGTGTGTGAGAGAAAATAATCTAGTCTTATTTAGCTGAAAATCTGACTTTTACAGTTAGCACCTAACTCCATAATGCACCAAACCAAAGTTTGGAAACAATGCACGTCAGGCACTGTGAAAGCCTCCAAGCTTTCGCCTTGGTCCATTACAAGGAAAGTTAGGGATGCAGAAAAAGATCCCAACTTTGTTGCTTGGTAGCTGTTTATATTTAAAGCACATGTCCTATCTGTAGCATGTGATAGGTAGGGTAAGAAACTATTTTAAATCAACGAGTTACACTGGAACGCGACGTCACCATTGAATACATCGTTGTATCCAGTGTGTGCACGCAAGTGTGTGTGTCTGTGTGCGCACGCCTATATTTTGGCTCTGATAATATTTGATGAACGTTTTCTTGCAAGTTGATTGGCCATAGAATTTATATTAAACAGCTGAGAAAATGTTTCCACTTTTTGGCGCAACTGCTGAACGTTGCTGTAAAACGAGACAATGCAAAACCCAGCTCCAACCCAAAAAAGGCTCTGTTGTTATGATCTTTATTTATAACAGGCAAAGTAACTAAGTAAAATAGCTGCCTCTGTTTAGCTGCCTGAACAATAGAAAAGTTTATGCGGCTCTTGAGCCGAAATGTTTTTGACAGTTTTCAATTTAAGCTCGTTCGATTTTGTAAGAAATCTCTAAAAATATGAATTTGAAAATCACCAGTTTCATTCTTTGTTCCTTTTGGAAAATTAGAATATATTGTCCAACTCTTCACTTGCTGTGTCTGAGGGAATCCTAGAGATTAGCTGGCAAAAATCAGCGATGGGGCCGTTGCTTAGGAACTGACTGGGTTTTTAAATTATTGCCTGATGTAATAGTTATATTGCCCACTTGCATCTGTTAACAAGCAATACAACAGAATCCACAGGTACCTATAAAGAAATAAACCTGACATTCATTACTTAGCTTGAAAATTCATAAATGGCTTTTCATGCTTGGCAGTGGGAAGAAAAACATTTTGCTCAGGTACTGGTTAATAAAGTGAGCTATGTACTGACTCTACACATATCTATTTTATTTAGATGTATTTACTTTGCCCTAGGGACAATATGCTAAGATGGAAGCATAGTATATTATTGTAATTACAATTCTGTGGCCCTGTGGAAAGCCAAGAGCTGCTTTTTTGGCTGTAATGTGTGGTGTAGTAATAGGACCATCCTTTTTTAAACAGAGAATGCAAGCATTATTGATTCATTTACCAAAGCAGGAGAAAGGGGGCTTTCTATCCAGCATACCATTTTGTAGGTCCTGGCAATCCAAAAACCATAACCAAGCTACTCTCTTAGTGGCAGCGATATTACCAACCTTAATCATTCAAATATTATGAATTGGTCCCTGAAAATCATGAGATAGTTTTCAAAATAATAAGCTTTCTAAAAAAACCCACTGGAGAACAATCTTTACACTTTTTGGGGGGCCGTAAGTTCATTCGTTCAAGCTTTTCTTCAAATGACAAGGACTAGATTTTTTCATGAAAGTTGAGGCCGCTCCCAAAAATGACACCTGTCCAAGTATAATTACATCAGTCCAGGTGTACCAGCTGAGACTCTCCCAAAAATTACACCAGCGGCTTTAAATACTGTACACACCAGATACTGCAAAACTCATGCTTAAATTCTGGAAGTTGGCAATATTGTGGTAGCCTAACTCTAGGCATTTTTTCCATATGATTCATGAACCAAAGTCCATTAAAGCCAATGGACAGAATCCCATAGACTTTGGAGCCCTTAGTCATGAACAATCCAGTATTTTAGTGTGTGCACATACATGCAATCCTACGTTGTTTCCACAATGGTATCTCTATATGCAAACGGGAAACATAACACCTCTGTCCATCTTCAGCTTCTTTGTAAGCCTCTTTCTTTTGAAGCCACTTATAAACCTGTTCCCAGCAAGTCAAAGAAGTACATGCACACACGGAGAACAAGAACAGTGTGCACCACAAATCAATTCTCATGATGGAGTTCTCCAAAAAGTTCCCGTGGAGGCCTGGTCGTTTAAGAGTTATTTTGTAGGAGCTGCTCAGGTGTGTAAGATTTTACAGCCTTGGGGCCTAAATCTGCAGTGGCAGACAGCTGAAACATAGTTTGCCATGCATTCCCGTTCCACAGCAGTATCGCGTTGGCGTATTGCAAAAGTCTAGCAAAAACAAACGAAGGGATGTATTCTCAGTTCAATGTATGGGGATTTATGCGTGCAACTCACATTAGTGTTAATGGGAGTTACATTCCTAAATCCTTGCCCTTCAGCATGATAATACATAATATACCCCTTAATATTTAATTCACTAGGGTCTCAATTTAAAGCATTTTCATATAGTTTGTCCTAATTATAATGGTTTTAATGACAGCTTAAAAATTTCACATGACTGTCTTATCACATACGGTACTTAATTTCTCAAGTGAACAGTTTACAGTTTTACTGTACTGTATTCTGGGAATTTTGAGAACTAAAACACTAAGGAAAAAACGACTTTGTATAATAAAACAACGTTATTATTCCACTTTATTTTATATACAC